GCGGGGGCTGGAGCCGACGTGTGCGGGGCGCCCCTCGGCCTCGTGGCGGGCGGGGCGTGATACACACAGACCCCCACCCCGCTCCCTGGACCTGAAATGCTGGAGGCTGCAAGTGGGAAGAAGAGCGGACTCCCCTGCTGATAGCCGGCTCCTCCCTCCAGCGCCCCTCTCCGCCCCTGGGGCTAGGGCCGACCCAGTCTTCTGCCCTTGCAAGACGGCGCCAGGCTCTGGAGGGGCTTCAGGGCCCCCAACACACGCAGACAAATGCCCTGCAAGGATATACGGGAGGCGATCCCCTTCCTGAGAGGTGCCCGGTTGGAGAGGCGCCTTCACAGCTGAACCTCTGAAACTTGCCAAGAAACATGTGATGATTCACCTTTAGGGCTGTTATTACAAACCTACCAAGTTAGCATTTAGCAAGGGAGGCAAAGGCAAACCTAGACAAACACAAATGTGTGCGTTACATACAATGACAGCCAAAATAAATATGGGCCCTGCTACGTGGTCAAATTAAAGCTGGACGGAAACCAGCCATAGCATTGTGACACATTTCCAAACACTAATTTTATAGCTGGGTGCCTCTTTTTATGGCTGGGATAGTCATTTTTATCCTGTGATAATGACTTTGCAGGTGTGGCCTGTCTAACTCTATTGTGGGAATTAACCAATTAATTACATTATAGTTACTTTGCACTTGTGGCCAGTCTTACTTGTCAGGTGTGGCCAACCTAAAATTATTGCACATTGTGGAATATATGTAGCAGGGGCCTCTAAGAAGTGTTTAGCACAGGACCAGGGACAATGGATATGCATGTAGCAGTCCAAGGATTACATTTCAATTTGAATGTAGAAGCATGACAATTTTCTTTTAAGGGAAAATGTATCAACATGAAATGTACATTCTACAGCAACTCCATAATGCAAACCCGATGGCATGCAAAGCTCAAGACACATGCCTGGAAATGCAGCCTGAGACTAGTAGCCAGGCCTAAACACCTGTGTTTGGTTATATAAGAATATAGAAATGGCCAGACCAGTGGTCCATGCAGCCTAGTCAAGTCTTTGACAGCTGCTAGTCCCATATAAATAATACATTGTACCATTATAAAATAATCTTCTGAAAGTTTTTTCTTTAATCAATTAAAGAAAGCAAAAATGTGCTGACAATTTTTTCCTACTGTATATGGCTGAAACTCTGTATGGAATTGATTAGGAAAAAATATGGCCATAAGAGACCTAGATCTTCACATATATTCTCCATCAGTGACCAACAAGACATGATCATTAAGTTTTATCTTGAAGTTAATTTAAACATTTCCATTGTCTAGAAGATACGACATAAAACACCTTACTTTTATTTTTTGAACTCAGGATGTATGTTAAGGCACTGATATATGTGGTAGAAAATATATCATATAAGAAGCCCTCCCACTCAAATGAAAAGATGCATTGCCATGAGAGCAACAGAGTACAAGTTTAGTTTAGTTTAGGTTAAGGAGCCAATCTTGCTATACTAATTCAGGCAATGTTCCCATTGAAGTCAAAACAGAAATGAATATGAGTAAAGTTATGGGTTCTCATTCTGCACCTTTGACACACAAAGCAGAAGTGGCATTATGGTAATTAAAAGTATATAGATTTGCTTAGACCAGGATGGTAATTCTCCTTCACAGGGATTTAAAAATTTTGAAGTTTGACACTGTTTGCATCAGAAAAAAAATGTGAAATCTTCAAAGATTTCCTCAAAAGAAAATTTGGAGCATTTTTTCAGAATGTATTTATAAATATGTTGCTTGATTTTGAAATATTTATTGTAATATACGCACAAATTTTAACATTTTGAAATTAAAACACCTTTTCAAAATTCCAAGCCGGGATATCCTATACACTCAAAAGACGGAAAAAAAAGAAAAAGAAATGTATGCTCATTCACTTCTACATTTTCACTTTCAATCCAGGGGTCTGCATCTTGTTCTTAATATTAATGCATGTTCTCTTCCCTCAAGTTTTATAATAGTGTGAGATTTTTCCTGAATGCTATCTCAGTTTAGGGGCTACAGCCAAGTCAGAATGTAAATAGGGTGCCAAATCAAGAGCTGGGAGCAAAGGCAGGTCCATAACACTAGACCAGGGTTAGCTGCCAAAGATCTGCAGCCAGAACAAACTGAGGGGCAAACGTCAAGAAACATACAGCCAGAAGGCAAAGTCAGAAGCCATAGTTAGGAAGGCCAAAAACAAACCAGAGTCAGCAGACCAGTAGACAAGGCAAGGGAAGAAGTCAAGCATCAAGGAACCAGGGCAAAGACTAAGGGACAAGGCAAGAAGCTGGTTACAGACAGGAAGCTCATGGGCTCTTCACAAAGTTCCACTGTTAAGGTATACTAGGTTGCCAACCTATTATATTCATGGCAGCAGCTGTTGAGTCTAAAGAGCCAGGATCAACCAGGTAGACAGACTGAGTTTGCAGGAACTGGCTTGAACTTGGCTGAGTTCCCTTGCTCATCAAGTTGTGGAGGAAGGGTTCAACCTTCAGAGCCAATGATTCTGAATTAAAGTTCTGTGACACTCTAAGGTGCCTTTAGATCCTTTCCAGTGTGCCACAGGCTGCCATGCAATGTTAGCACTGTTAAGCGTGCAAACATGATTCACAAGATAAGCCCAGAGATAAATAAGAATCCACAGCGCTAAAAACATTCTAACTTGTGATCTTTCCGAGTTCATTGCAACAGGAAAAAATGTTCTATTATTTTTCTGTAGTCAAAAAACAAGTGAAAAGTAAGAGCTGGCATTTTCTGAGGGGTGCCTTGGCCCTAAGGAGAAGTACCTTGAGTTTAAAAAGGCTGAGAACCACTGCTTTAAACCCATTAAAGTTTCCTGACTTTGTCACCACTAACCTAATCAAAGAAATCCACTCGAGTTTTACCTTAGGAAGGACTGCATGACAGGTTCATAAACCAGAATCACAAAACACTTTCTTCACTATCCCAGTCAAGAGCAGCCCTCAATGGTGCCTGAAGACCACCAACTCTTCAAACCTTCTTTTACCATATGTCCTTCCTTTATCACAGCCATAACAGCTGTCTCCTTAGTCATTCTGGCCAACTGTGGAGTTGCTTTCCAGAAAAAATTATCCTTGCTAACACTAGGCAACTAACTGCCAGGATAGCCTTAATTTCACCATTCTGCCACTACAGGATTACAAAATGTCATAAGCCAGAGATATTGGACTTATTCTTAGACTTTACATCCTTCTCCTGGGTGACTGTTACCAGTATTTTCAGTGGAGTACTACAAGTAGTATAGTAGTAAGCATCTATGCTGCTGACAAATGTTCTGTTTATGGCACAGACATGGCAAGAGGGGCAATTGTAGGATTGGGGATCAGATCCCAATCATGCCATATTGCTGGTGCAAAGGAGGCTGGGGATCATAAGTGGGAAGTGTCGGCAACTGCAGCACTCACCAGGTGGTTTACCAGTTGAACCGGGGGGCGGGTGGATGACCAACCCACTTTATGGACAGGCCGGGGATGAAAGGGACACTGACTCAGTTGGAAGATAGTAAAATTGAACTTAACGTTTACTTACAGTAAGATTTCAACAGTGGTTACACAACAAAACGACAGTGGTGAAGCAGTAGTTAAAGATGACAAGTAGGAGATAGCAATTGCTTTTTCCAATGTACGTGCGGATGGAGAGCTCACTATTCGGTGAAATAATAGCCAGAGTGTGACTATTCGTATGACTATTCGTATGACTATTCGTACTATTCGGCCGTGGGGACACGGATTCCTGGACAGGGTGATCAGTCCTATCCAAGGGCCTGTGTGGAACCCAGGACCCTGCGCTTTAGCGCACTGTCCCTTTTATAAACTCTTCAGCCAATCAGAGGAGGCTGCTGATTTACAGTTAAGAGAGTGTGTCTGCTGGCCAGGCAGTCACGCTTCTCCTGCAGCTCCTGATTTGTTAAGGCTGTCTGATCACGAGCTGGTCAGCCTCATGATCATGAGCTCTTCACACGTTGAACATGACCTGCTCTCGTGTTCTGCATTGGTCTGGCATGTGGGCTGAGCGTTTGGTCACCATTTCTACTCAGACATGCCCCCTTGACCAAATGCCAGATCAAATGCCTTCAAGTTCTACTTCTCCCTCATCTACATTAGACAGTTGGGTATATACGAAGGTCGACAGCATCATTACTCGGCGTTTAACTATGTTCAAAATACAACAACCAATACAAACACACAGTAAAATGCCTAATAA